GTCCTGTCCGCCATGGCCTGTCTCATGGAACGGACAAAGACTCAACAGCCGTCCTGTCTCACAGATCAGTGGATCGTCGGTCTATGAACCCTAGACCCTAAACCCTGGACCGACTTGCACTTCTGACAGAACGCTCCTCTGAAGAATATCCGAAGAAGGTCGACTACACTCAGGTGTGTGTGCGTGTCCGGCTGTGGCGTGCAGCAGTGTGTCCGAGAAGGACTCAAGAGAGCGAGCAGGGAGTAAAAGACGAAGAGTGTCTTTGCCGAGCCATCCCGTGCTTGTGGCGATGGCTGTTCAGCCGCACTTTGAGCTCTCCAACCCTAATCTGTAAGACAAACACTGTCAGATGCATCAATCGCGTCTGTATCATTCACTGGCTTGTTGCCTGGCCTGAACGAGCAGGTACCTCAGCGGCCTATGCATCTTCGTCGGCGGGATCCTTGCGAGCGCCGCCGGGATTGGAGGTGAGAGACGGGGAGCTGGTAGGATGGGCAGACAGTCAGTCTTTCCCGCAATGTCTGGTGTTGTTGTGTGTATGGGTGGGGTGGTGGTTAGGGGGAGGCATCTTCGTGGCGTTGCTGATGGTCATTGAGGGGTTCTCAGCTTACAATGCCGTTCCGCTGTCGAAGGCGATGATATTTGCGGGGTCGGTGCTGTCGTTCATCCTGCTGTCCCGCAAGAAGCACCCTGAGACGCAGGCGCCCCTCATTCATTTCGACCTCGGCAAACTCATGGTGCCCATGGCGCTGTCCGGTAAGCAATGCGTAGGCATAGCGTCACACGTACCGAGGTGGGTGCTCGGCTCGCACACTGCTGCCTTGCCTTGCCTTGGTGGCTGCTGCTTGTCTGTCCTGATCAAGGCACGCTGTTCGGTGTGTATCTCAACTTCATCCTGCCCGAGTGGGTGCTGGTGTCCTGCCTCGTCACGTTGCTCTCTCTCGTCACCTTGAGAACCATCCACACGGGTATCTCCAAGTGGCGCGAAGAGCAGGAGGCCTTCAAGCAGCGAGGCACAGTGAGAGAGCTGGTGCCGCTGAGCGACGAGGAGGACCGCCGCGACAGCATTGTGCCCCTTCCACACGTTATCCAGCCAGCGATAGGCAAGACACAGCAGCATGTGGACGGCTCGCCAGTCACGACAGCCAGCGGGGGCCCGTCGCATCCACCATCGCCCGAGAAGCCTGTGAGGTCTCTCGGCACTGTCATGGAGACCACAGGAAGGGACAGCATTGACGAAGGTGGGATGGATGGATGGATGGATGTGTGTGGCGAATTAATGTCGTGTGTGGATGACGTATCGCATCGACGGTAACTGGGAGGGCCGTGCTGTGTCTGTGTGTATGTGTGTGGCACACGTGGTTGCGGTGAGTGCAGATGGCAGTGAATCGACTCCAGTATCGCTTGACGGCAGCACGGCGGCCCCATCAGCAAATGTCATCGGTCAGCCGCTGGGCACCTGGCTGCCAGGAGGGCCCAGAATGAGAAGGTCGCTGTCACATGTAAGCCAGCCGCAGCAGCAGCCGTCCATGCGAGCAGTCATCGCCTTCGGCTACCATGTTGTCTGTCTGTCTGCAGGACTACAGTGAGCAGGGCAGCCCCAGTGCCAGTGCAGCGCAGCGCCGTCTTGTCTCCGACCCACCCGACACGGCTACCAACCCAGGTGCCACCACCCTGCCCCTCCCCCCGATGCCCCTGGAACAAGACGCCGGCACCCCCAGCAAGGCAGACCACCGACCATCCCCCTTCCAACCTCTCCCCCGGCTGCACTACAGTGACAAGATGATGCGCACCAGCTCTGTTCCCCTGCTGCTGCCGAGGGTGTCGGTTGACGACTGGGAGTTTCCCGCCACTGAGGGCGGTGGCGCAGCCACACTGGCGGCCGATTCGCCGCGAAGAGGCTCGAGTGTGGCCGACATGGACGGCGTTGCTGGGGCTATCCGGCTGTCCATTGAGAGTGCTGAGACCGTGGCAGAGGGGTCGGCGACGCTCATCGCTGACAGACAGGTAACTCTCGACCACGGGAGCGATTGGCGAGACCACCCTGTGGATGTGGCGGGGCTGCTGCTTATTCTGGCGGGCATTATTACTTGTGGGGCGCTCAGACACCACCTGTCAGACACTGAGTGAGAACGATATGCACCAGCCGTGGCAGCCGGCCTGTTGCCTGACTGCGTCGTGTGGTGTGGTGTGGTGTGTTGTGTTGCGTCTTGTGTGGCCGCAGGGACAGCACTGTGTTGACTGTCATTGTAGTCACCCTGCCGACTGTGGGATGCGTTGTGGCCGCCTGCTTCTACGTCTTGCAAGTCACCAAGCTGACAGGTGCGCACAGTACAGAGCCATGTCTGAATCTCTCAATGTGTGTGCATGTGATGTGTGTGTGTGTGTGTGTCTGTGTTTGTGTTTGTGTTTGTGTGCGTATGGTCCTCACTCAGGGTGGCGTCTCAGGCAGGTTGCGCCGTTCCCGTGTGTGGCCTTCTTGACGGGCATCTGCTCTGGTCTCTTGGGCATTGGGGGCGGACTCATCTTCTCACCGTTCTTTGTCTTCATGGGGGTCGACCCGATGGTACGTGGCAATTGACAACACAAACAACACTTCTCAATGAGTCGCTCACCTGTCAATCAACTTATGTGCTGTCTGTGTTGGCTGCCTGCATCAAGGTGACCGTCTCGACAGCCAGCTTCTGCGTGGTCTTTACGGCTACATCAACCACGTCTCAGTACCTGCTGTCAAATCGGTGAGTGAGTGAGTGAGTGAGTATGTGTGTGGCCGGCTGGCCGGCCTGACACTCAGAGAGGTCACATGACACACACAGATGTCGCTCGCTGGCCGCACACACGCATGGGTGTTTTTGCATGACTCAGTGTACCTCGGGACTTTGCGGTCTTTTACGGCGCCATCACCACCTGCGCCTCTTTTGTCGGTGTCAAGCTGGTGCACTACATCCAGAAAAAGTCAGCAGTGTAGCCATACATACACACAACGAACGAACGAACGAACCATTGTCTGTGTGTGTCTGCTCGAGTGCAGGACGGGTCGCAAGAGCTTTGTGATCGTTGTCGTAGGGGTGGCGGTGGGCGTGAGTGCCATCCTGGCCTGCGTCAAGTTCGTCGCCGGGCTCTAGTATGTGCTGTTGCCCTCTCTGCATGAGATGTGACCTATCTGTCTGTCTGTGTGTGCATTTCCCGTGGTCGCTGAAGCGGAAAGAGAGGGAGATTCGCGGGCTGTGTGTGTGTGCGTGTATATGTGTGTATGTGTGTATAAAACAGCACATGTGTGGCTTTGCTGCTAGGCGGCACGGGTGGATGGCGGCCGCCATGCCATGCACCATTCATTCATTCGGTTTGACTTACCGACCCAACGGCCGACTGGGAGGGAGGGAGGGAGGGAGGGAGGTGTGGTCACTATTTGGTGAATGAACGAATCTTGACAAGTAAGTCACCCGCCCATACTCTCTCACGCCCACCCACCCAGGCCACGCTTACAAGGCGCGCATACATACAATACACACAGTCAACGGAAGAAATGCACGCGCATGCCGTGTACGGTACGCAACAGACTTATCTATCGGTCCTAGCTACAGCTCGCCAGCCACATCATTCATTTGTTCATTCGTTCGCTCATCAACAGTGAGTGCCTAGCTTACTCAATCGATCGGCCCAGCTCACAGGCTCACAGGGTCACAGGAAGAACAGGCCGGTGGCAAGGACCACCCCCCCCACCGTCACCAAAGCCCACCCTTTAGACATACACAAGCGCACCCCGGCACTCTCTATACAGTCCACCCCCACGTCCCAGCTGGGGTCTCTCTCCCCGGGGAATCGCGGCCTCAGCTCCCTCCGTGGCTTGGGGCTGCCCTTGTCGTCCGTCTCGGTGGCGTCGTTGGGCGGCGCGTCCTGCCGGATGTGGACACATGTGGCCTCTGCATTGGTGGGCTTGTACTTGGCGTTGCAGACGGCCTTGACCTTCTCACCCACTGCGTAACACGGCTTCTCCATTGGCTCGTGAACCGCGTTGCTGTGAGACATGCATGGTGTGATGGTGTTGCTTCGGTGTCTGTCTGTCTATCTGTGTCTCATGCGTGCGCACACATACACACATACCGTGGTACGTCGACTGCCTTCCCTGCTGCTGGGTCGATGTTTGGCGAGTAGCACTGCCCGGGGCACTGCTCACCCGACGTCTCATCAGACGAGACACCTGCACCAACGCCCACCATGCGCCACAGAGCGACACAGAACAACACATCACAACATACCACAGCCTACCCTCACCCACCCCACTTACTCACCAGCGCCCCGTGCGAGTGCTTCGGAGACGGCCTGTGAGACCTCATATTGGTTCTTGAAGTTGTCACTGAGGTCGACACACGCCTCGTATGCATCGCCCACCTGCCCCCAGTGGCAGTGGAAGTTCTCCAAAGGGTCCGACCGGCCCACCGCCACGGCCCGCTGCTTGAAGGTGTACTCCATCTCGTCACAGGCCTGCTTGTTCATGCAGTAGCCACACATCCGGTACTTGCCCAGCCACGGCAGCGGCGGGGGCGGGAGGTCTCGCGTCATGTCCTCGCTCTCCATCAGGTCGGCCAGGCGGTTCCTCAGAACCGAATCGGTCATGCTCATTTCTAGGGAGAGGGAGGTGCCCAGCAGGCCGGCCATGTGCAGGTCCACCAAGCTGCCCGTGCCCGTGCCGCTCATCACCTCCGTGGCGGCTGATGTCTCGACAAAAGACGGAGGAGCGGGACCCTTGGTTTCTTGGCCTTTTTCTTTGCCTTTGTCTTTGTCTTTGTTGTCTTGTTTGTCTGCGTCTTCTTGCTTCTTTTTGGGGTCCCCAAAGAGGAGTTGCCACATTTTGGTGGCGAGGGAAGGCTTGTCGCTCTTGTTGGCCTCGATGGCCTTGTTGAGGGTGTCCTCCACTCGCTTCTGCGCCTTATCCTGCTCGAGCATCTCTGTCTTGAACTTCTTGACGAAACCGTCCTCATACGGGGGGAACCGATAGGAGAAACACTCCTGCGCGCATTGGGGCTCCCCCGGCCGCCGGGCCTCGGGAGCCAGCCACCTGATCGGGTCGGGCAGAGGAGCGCGGGAGACAGCCTGTTGCTGCCTGCCCTGCTCCCTAGAGTGCCTACCTACCTGCATTCGATGAGTGGGTCACAGGTGGATTGCGAGTTCATGAGGTTGCACTTGTAGAAGCACTTGCCGTATCCAGAGTCCCAGAAGCACACACCGTCCGCCTCACACGCTGTGCTGTTGCGGTCCAAACACGTCCGGTCACCCGGCGGGGGTGGCTCACCACCACCGCCACCTGCAGCCGGTGGCCCTGTCGTGGGTGCCTCACTCACCGGCTGGCTGGCCGCCTCTGCAGCTGCTGCTGCTGCTGGTGACGCCTCCTCCTTCTTTGGCTCGGTGGGCGGCTGTGTCTCTGCGGGCGTGGCGGGTGCAGGGGCGTTTGCTTCGCCGGCAGTGGAAGGCGCAGGGGAGGGGGAAGCGTTTGTAGCAGCTGCGGCATCGGCTGGTGGCGGATTGGCATTCACATTCGCATTTGCATTGGCGGCAGCCGACATGTTTGTCGGGGCAGTGGCAGCAGGTGGGGCGCCTTGACTTTCAGTGGTGGATGGTGCGGGGGAGGCGGCGTTGGGGTCTTCATTCGGCTCACGCTTCGAGCCAGTGACGGCAGCCGCCCTGTGTATGTCTCGCCGATCCGCATTGAGGGCTGCCTGCGCTGCTGACCGCTGCTGCCCCTGCACACGCTGCGCTCCGCCCAGGATCTGCTGAGCACTCTGCTGGTTCTGAAGATGAGACAGGAAGGCCGCATAGCTGCCCACAGCCGCTTGAGGCACGTTGGTCGCCCCCCACTGGGAGGCGGTCTGGTTGACAGCGGGATAAGCCGGATAAGCCTGCCAGGGCCCTGGCGTTGCCTTGATAAGTGGAGTCGAAAGGCCTGCTAGTGCTTGACCGCCACCGCTTCCTGCTAGGGGCGGCAGCCCGCCGATGAGGCCGAAGCCGGGCTGCAGTCGAGAGGCCTCCTGTGCGATACGTGAGGTGCTGTTGGTCATGGTGGCGAGGGAAGAAAAGGACTCCTGGCGACCATCCAGCGGCCCCCACGGGTTGACAACCGCTCCGTCAGAGAAGGAAGTAGCATCACCGCGCCTTCGCTGCCGCCACACGTGGAGCTCCTGACGCCTCGCGAAGCGACTGCCCCGAACCCTCGACAGCAACAGAGAGACGAGAAGAGCGAGGAAAGGCGTCTTCTTCATTGAGCTGATGGTCGGGTGGGTGGTTGCCGTGTATGGCAGGGGGGATAGAGGGGATAGAGGGGGATATCAGCTCTCAGTGGCCTGGTGGTTGCTGCACAAGTATAATGCGTTTGCATGGGAGTCCGTCAGACAAAGGCCTTGCAAACTGGGCTCTCCGAGCGGTCCCTGCAAACTTGCACTTCCGAGACAGGAAGGGAGACTGTCGGTTGTAGGTCCTCACTTCGAGAATCCTCTTTCGGGCTGTCTTGCCTGGCATGAGCTGCGAGGCAATCGGGTCTTGTGAGCCAAACGAATGGGGGGGCTTCGGGTAGGGGGGAAACCCTAAACCCTGAAACCCGGCGAGCAGTGTCTCACAAATGGTGAAAATCACAGAAGGGCAGGCGCCGCACGTCAGTTCAGCAGCACAAACATTTCGGTATGTTGGTGTTCAGGTGAAGAAGTTGGGCAAGCGCGATGGGCAACTGCTGGGCCACTTCCTGCTGATCTTGGATCTGCACGTCTGCTGTGCATTCACGCCTTCTCCATCACCTCTAAGGCTGTCATCTTCGTTCGGGCTGCGAGCAAGGCTTCGGCATCCTCACCTGCCACTCAGTGGCCGAGCCGACAGGCAGCGCGGTGCCAATGATGATCATCCTGCAGACCCGGGCAGCCTGCCTGGTGTTGGTGCAGCTGACAAAAGGCGGCCGGCAGATGAGGTCCCCGGTGCAGCCTGGTGGCGGGAAGGGCTTTCGAGGCTGCTTGTGAGCATCGTGCTGATGCTCAGCGCGGCGTCTGTTCCATGGGCCATTGACACGCCGCCGCCTGCTCAAGCCTTCGTCAACATCTTGTCTGAAGATCCGGTCGGCGTGAGGCTGAACAACAGGCAAGCCAGTCAGGCGGACGGGCCGCCGCGTTTCACTCACTCGCGCATGCCATGCCATGACGTCAGGAGATGTGCTTGTATGCCGTCCGTCCAGGTATTTCCTGATGCGTGCGGGTGAGTCGACAGCCGAGCGGCAGGGGACCTTCTTTACCAACCCAGGTAATCCATCCATCCATCGTGATGAAGCTTTCTTTGATGTGACTGACTGACTCACCGACCCACTCACTCACTCACTCTTGTTTCAGGCAACAAGGGTCCGATGGAGGGCAACCAGCTGACCCAGGCTGGGCAGGCCGAGGTGGAGGAGGCAGCCAGGCGCCTCGTCCAAATGCAGGTCAGTCAGACAAGAGGGCACGCACGCGGGGGTCTTGGTTTCTGGCTCGTCCACATCAGTGTCAGCCCGTGACACTGATAGATACGGGCGTACTTGTGTGTGATGCGATCGATTCTGTCGATGGATGCTGTCTGCCGATGGTGCCAGTTCTGCTCAAGCCTGGAGAGTGGCGGGTGTTTCATCTGGGCAAACATCAGCCAGCGGTCACTGGAGACCGGCCTGATGTTGAAGAACATGCTGGGCATACCCCAGGACAGGCTCGTGCCCGAGTACCTTTATCTTGACCCCGTACCGACGGGCGGGAGCTCACACACACACACACATATACACATACACATACACATGCTTTGCACGATGAATGATGTTTGTGCTGCTGTGTCGCGGCTTGCAGAGGGGCGTGGGCGCCCTCGATGGCTCAAGCCTCTCTCTTTACGACTCCATCCACCAGCAGGCAAGCCCAACACACACACACCCACACACAAACACACGGAGCACACAAATGGGAGAGGGAATATGCGTGTGTGTGTGTGTCAGGATGTTGAGTCGATTGACGCGAGGCCGCCCCCCGGCTCGGACGGGACGCCCAACGAGTCTGTGATGGACCTCTTCATAAGGATCCGGCAGCTGTTCAACATCCTCGAGGGCCAGTACAGCGGGCAGGGTGAGGATCGCTCATGGCCCATTCATCCGTGTATGGGAGCCTGCTATTTCCGCTCAGACCTGCTGCTGATCACACCTGACTCGGATGTCCTCTCCGTGACGGAGGCCGCCTTCAGGGGCGACTCCCTCAACGACCTCAAGTAAGCCAGCCAGTCGGTCAGGATGCTCTGACCGACCGACACAGAGAGACGACTGATTCTGCGTGTGTTGGCGCGTCTGTCTGCCAGGTCTCACTTTCAGTACTCATATCAGCCGGGAGAGGTCAGGTTGCTGCAGGCCAAGGGACCGACGCGGTCGTTGTGAATGAACCCCACCCCACCCCACCTGTGTGTGTGATGGTGACTGACTGACTGATTGGATGAATCTACCAGTGGGGTCTGACTATGCGGCTGGCTGTGACCTACCTGTCTATCAGCTAGAGAGCTGATGCGTTTCATTTACTTACTCGCACGTGTGTGGCACTCACTCGCTCAGTGTCCGTCCATTTTGGCGTGTGCGTTATGGCCGCACTGTCTGTGTGGTTCAGTTTGATGCATGCGTCAAGACAGTGAGAGTCATGCCGGCAGTCATTGAGTCATCATCACACGTCATGCAGTCAATGCACGTCAACAACAGTGTCTGTCTGGCCTGTCAGCTCAGCACTCTCTTTCCAGCCATTCACGCAAACACACACACACACACACACACACAGGCACACACACAGAGAGAGAGGGAGGGGCGGCTGCCCGCTTGCAGGCAAACCGATCAACGACACGCGCACACGAGGAGTCCATTACTCACACGAAAGATGAGCTGATGAATTCGTTCGCAAAAATCATCCATCCATCCCTCCATGTGTGGAGCTTGGACGCCATGAATGCGTCGCCTTGCGTGTGCCGCCCCCTGTTTTCGGCGAGGTCCTGCTCTGTTCTGTTACTTACAAGCTGGCTCACCTCACTCACAGTGCTCAGTCATCCAGAAGTGTCGAAAACACCAAGCAAGGAAGGAAAGAAGGAAGGAGGAAGGAAAACGGGCAATGGAGCTAAGCTGAGTCAGCCACAAACAAACAGTCAAACCTTGCACGCTCTCCATTCCCTCACTCCCTCCCTTCCTCCCCTCCACCCACTTAACCACCCAAGCATTGCACAGATCCATCGAATGGATGGATAGATGGTTGGACGGCCTGTCTGTCTGTCTGTCTGCCTTAGCTTAGCGATACTGATACATTCGGTCGGCGTACATGCCGCCGCCTCCGTAGCTGCCCTGCCCCTCCTCCGCCGCCATGTGCACCGACCGCATCTGCACTGTCCTGTGGCTCGACGACACCCCTGGCCCTCCCTGGCTGTACCCGTTGTCCTGGCTGTACCCGTTGTCGTACGCACCACGCCTCGGCTCACCCGCAGCTCCACCACCAGCACCAGGAGGACCAGCGCAGGACCTCTGTGCACCGGTGGTCGATGCGGCAGCGGTGGTCTCGTTGTGGTCGTTCTGTTGTCCCTCTGGGTCGTACTCGTCCTCGTCCTCTGCCTCCTGGTCGTTGTCGTCTTCTTCCTCCTCCTCAGCGCCGTAGTTCTCGCCACCGTTGACATCCCCCATCTCTCCCTCTCCCTCTCCCTTCAGCGATGAGTGCTGGTACTGGCCCATGTCGTAGTAAGAAATCCCCCGGCCGCCTGTGGAGGGCTGGCCGCCCTGCTGCGGTTGCTGTGACGATGACGACGCTGAGGGGCCGCCGGCGGCGTTGCTGTAGCCGCTCTCCGTTGGCATTGAGACGAACCTGGGGTTGGGCCGCAGGATGGGCGCCCCGTTGCTGGGCCCAACCACAGCTGCAGAAGCGGGGTGGGTGGGGTATGCAGGTGGGGCCGCGTAGGGCATTGGGGGAGGAGCATTGAGGGCGGACGGGGGGTATGGTGGGCGGGAGGGGAGGGGGGGGCGCGCAACAGCGGCGTGGTGATGCTGATGCTGATGCTGCGGTGGGTATGGCGCCGGGGGGTAGAAGGGGGGAGGCCGCTGGTCGGCGGGCTTCGTGTACCCATACGGCTGATCCAGGTAGCTGGGGCTGCACACACCCATACGCAAGACAGCCATCCATCCAAGCATCCACCAGCCTCTGCTTGGTCGATCGATGTGCGTTCGTGTGAATGAGTGAGTGCATCTGTGCATCTTACAGGTGTGGCGGCATCATGTGTGGGTGTCCGTTGGGCATGTAGGGTCCTCTGGCGACGTCGTGGCGACTCACCACCAGCGGTGGTCTGGGGTGGCCGGCAGGTGGGAAGGGGTACCCCATGGCTGCTGCCGGGGCGGGGGGCGGCGGCACCTGGCCGCCCTTGGCCACCAGGTGAACCGAATCCCTCTTGTAGATGGCCGCCGAACGAGGACGCACACTGTTGCGATACATCATTTTACCCAACCTGTGCATACACATATACATACTCCGTACATTGCTCGCCATCAGATTGTGTCTCACCATCCCCTCTGTCTGTCTGTCCCTCCCTCACCCATCGGCGGCCTCGCTCCCTGTCCTGAGCGCCTCTTTATGCCTCCTGCCCTGCCGCTGCCCCGGCGGCCCCTGACGGAGCTCCCCCTTGCCGTGTGCATACCGGCAGTTGGCGTCGAAGCACTTGCCCCTGGAGAACTCGATACAAAGTGAGGTCTTGCGCAGGTCGGGGAGGGGACGCAGCTCGGCCTGGCTGTGGGCGTACGTGCAGCTCTCGCCCTTGTCACACACGCCGCCGCGAGCGATGGTCTGGCACAGCTTCGTCTTGGCGTACATGACGGATGGAACGACCGAAGGACTGGCCGCCGGTTTGTCCTGTCAACAACACAACACACACGGCCTGGCGTCCGTCCTCTTGGCTGCGTGGCCTTCGAGAACAGCCTCTCTGTGTGCTCCCACCTTACTGAAGGGATCGTTTGGCAAGCGCGCTTCAGTAAGGTGTCGACTAGATCGACCTCCCAGGCACCATAACCAGAGTGCTTCAGAACGAAAAGGCCTTGCTATCGACTTAAGCTGTTAAGCTCGCAGACATCAGCTCGCAGATGCAGATGCTTCCTTAAACCGCTGCAAGGCGGAAGCGCCGCGTGGCGTTGACTACCCCGATCTGACGAGTTAAGAGCGTGATGCTGTTGACAGACCGGTATGGCCGCTCAGCTGTGGTGGATCCCGATGAGAGTGCTGCCAGCGGGAGCTGCTGCGGCTGCCCGCTCCTCCTGGAGGGCACTCGGATGTGGCGGGCTCATCACACACCATGCCTCGTGAGCTGCCAAGACCTCCACACACAACAGCTGCACTGCACTGCATGTGTTGTGTTCCAACCCTTCTGTCTGTTTGCAAAATGCGCTGTCTTGCTCAGGGAGGCCGGGGCGTCCGGACACAGGAGGACTTCCCATCGCTGGGATGGAGCATCCTATTCCTCGTCTTCCCAGTCGTCTTGACGCAATTGGTCATCCTGCCCTTGGTGTCTTCTGCGGCCCCGATGTACGGCGCATATATGCCATGTTGGCTCTTCCCTGTTGTGACGGGCGTCGACCTGTCGATGCTGCTGGTGCTGGTGGTGTGGCGGGAGCCGGGGTACTGCCTGTACAACCTCTCGCCGCTGCACCCCCCTGCCATCCCGTTCCGCTACACCAAGGATGGGCTGTTGCAGAAGTGGTGTGAGACGTGTCGCATATGGCGGCCCTCGAGGGCATCGCACTGCAGCTTCTGGTCAGCCAACCAGTCACTCACCTGGGCGGTGGGACCTCTCTGTCTGTCTGTCTGTCTGTTTGTGTGTTTCTTGCCGCGGTACGTGTGGATGCAGCAACCGGTGCGTGACGCGCAAGGACCACCACTGCCCGTGGATAAGCCAGTGCATCGGGTCGCGAAACCACCTCTACTTCCTGCTGTGGCTCGCCCTTACCGCCGCACTCTCGGTGGCTGTGCTGGCGTGCAACGCCTTGGCTGTGTGGCTGGCCGCCTGTGGAGTGGAGGACATCACATGGAAGCAGTGCGTCCAGATGAGAATCGCCGATACGGGTAGGGAGGGAGGGTTCGGGAGGGAGAAACAAAGCCGATGAAGGGATGAAGGGATGGATGCATCGACGAGCCCATCCCATCAGACAGTTTCACTTGCCTGTCTGTCGATCTGTCTGTCTGTCGATCTGTCTGTCTGTCTGTCAGGTGGTGTGCCGCGACTGCCGCGGCAGGTCTACGTGGCGGCTTTCCTGCTGGCGTATGGCCTCCCCTTCGCGTGTTTCCTCATCTACCTCAGCTGCCTGCACGCCTTCCTGATGCTCTTCAACCTCACGACCAGGGACTTGCACAAGACGGGCAGCGATAAATGCGCCCACTTCAGCCTCAACATTTGCGCCAACCTCCATTCAGCCGTCAGTGGCGCGCTCCGCGGCAGCTTTGTCTTCGGCAACCTGCCACGCCGCCGGGAGCAGTACCGCTCGGAGGCCGAGCTCATGCCGATCGTCATGTCCGTCGCGCCACCAATGATCTTCTCGCCCACGCCTCCCGCGCTACGCCCACCCCTGATCCCAACCACACATCTGGTCTGTGAGCATGCGCTGCTGATGAACCCTGAGCCGATGCTGCGGGGCAGCGAGCCCAAGGGCACAATGCGGCTGCATACTAGCGGCTCCACACGAGCGCCGGAGAGCCCCGCGCCGTTTGGAGGGGGAGTCGGTATTAAATAGATTAAGATGCACGGGCGGGCGGGCTGCTAAGGTCGGGGTAAGAGACAGGGCGGGTGAGGTGGCGTTTGACATGGATGGCCGGCCTTCTTCTGGCGGTCCGTTCTGTGGGTGAGCCGAGAAGGATGAGTGTGCGTGTCAGCGTGTTCGGATGCGGACATGCTCTGTCTTTATTTGGTGGGTCCGTGTGTGAGTGTGTGTGGGTGTGTATATTCTATAGCATTCATCCATGAGAGCGCTGTGGTGAGACTTTGACATGTGCACGGCCTCATTGAATGTCGTTGATCTTTCTGCGATTGTTGCGATTTGCACAGGACAACACTTCTAAGTACGCCACACTCCATTTCTCAGTCAGAGCCTCTCTTTCCATGGCCAGCTCACGCATCACCAGAAGTGGTTTGAATGGCCTGGTGGTATCTATTGGTCACGTAACTCGTCCTACCAAGCACTTGGACGCCTTCGCCCAGTGTACTTGGTGTCTTCTTTCACTGTCTTCCCTGCCAGTCGCATGCGGTCTTTCTTCTCCTTGATCCAATCTCGGTTCTTCACTGGTCGACGAGGGCCCCTTCTCCGTCTCACGTCACGACTGGAGGGACAAGGGAGGAGACACTCAGCCTTATGTCATTCCACTGCTGTCTATATTCTCACTCTCTTGTCGTATTCAGGATCCTCGTTGGTTCGTCCTCATCGTCATTTCCCAGCAGCGCCTGCGAGCACGCAACCGAATGAATTAAAGGAGATCTCAAACGAATCAATCACCTTCGGCAACGTCGGTGGCCGGTTGCTTGTGTGCCCCGCGTAGACGCACAAGTAGTATCTATACGCGAATCAACACACACACACACTCACACAACGCGTGTGTCAACTACGTGCTACGTCTACTTCTTTGCTCTCGTCGAGTCGGGAAAATCAATCACAATCCCACCACCGAAACCTACAAGTCAATAGAAACACGGGTTCTCTCTGCCTAGGGCATCTCACCACCTTACCGCATCTTGTGGCTGCCGAAGTGATCATCTCACAAGACGCGGAAGCCTCCGGATAGAATTGAAGCGCCTACAGGAAGATACACTGTTCACAGTGCGACTTCTCTGTTGATGTCTGCTTACTCCTCTCGCTCCCTTGTTCAAGCAAGCGTACAGAGAACGAAAGAACGCAATGAGCCTTTTGTATGGCTCATGACCTTTCTGGTCTGCATTGCACAGCCACTGCAACGCTGACACGCTGCAGCCAAACCATATGATTGACAGTATGATGATAGCTGATAGCTCTGTCGATCTGCTGACCTGACAGCGCCGTCAAAGGTGCCAGGACGAAATCGGAAACCTACCACAGGACAAGAAAACATAAGCCACCCAAGCTGTTCGGCGTCCACGTCCGCGTGTTCCCTCACCTTGCCCCACATCGGACAAGAGCATGTCGCCTTCCGCCCCGCCGTCCAGCGCAACGTCTGAGAACCGACCAATCAACCAATCAACCAATCAACCAGAAGCGAATCACCCCTGACCATGTTGGTATGCATTCACCGTGTACTTACCAAGCATCGCCTTGCTGATATCCAGCCCTACCCACGCGTGGTTGCTCTCAGCCAGGACACCGCCACTTATTCCGGAGCCACAGCCGATGTCGAGCACCAAACAAGGATGCTGAACCAACAACCCGGTTACTTCCGAAACGTTCAGGAGGTCAGTGCGGTGTGAGTACCTCGGGGAGCAGGAGAAGCTCGAGGCATCGCTCAGCCATCTTGGACTGGATGCTGGTCATTCGTGAGCTCGAGGCATACTTCTCTGCCTCGGTCTCGTCGTAGAACTACAAATCAAGCCATTTGGGAGAGCACAAAGCCGCTCGTAGGTCTGCTTACCAACTCTGGAGGTCCCTGGTGCTCCGGACGTGACATCTTCAGCTGCCTCAATTTCTTTGACGGTGGACGTTATCACTCGCACTGCCCGCCATCCACATCACGGAAACAGCGGCTGGTCTCATTGGCAGGTCGGATCTTAACTGGGGGCTACCCTAGCCCATTATTGCGAGCTAAGCGTGAACAGTGTGTGGGACCGTTGAAAGTGGAAGAAGATGAACGCGCTTGTTTCGCCGCGGGTACGCCTGCAAAGCTGCACGGATACCAACTGGACCTGCCTCTCATTTCTCGCAAGGTGCGTCACATTTCGTAATGTCGCGTCAGCCTTTGTTGATGTTGTGTGTCCTCTGCAGACTGGGAATTTGCCTCTTCTTCTTCTCCACGTGCAGCGCCTTGACTGCGGAGGCCTCGTCATGCGTCCGAGTCAATGCGCTGCACCTCACCCACAACGGCAAGCCTGTGCAGAGGTGTCAGGACTTGCAAGAGGCCCTGAACGTCCTCAACACGACGGAGGATGCTGCGGGGGCTTTGGAGGATACACAGGAGTGCTCACTTGCGGAATGCATCAGTGTGGACGCGAACACTCTCTCGGCCGTCGGAGCTGGTGTCAAAAAGGCAAGAAGCAGCGACAAGGAGAGAGACGACGATGTGTCCTTCCTCGCACCTCTCTCCCGTCTGATTGGCTTCTGGAGCGAGTCCCTGTTCAATTTCAACAAGGAACCGCCGGCAAACGACGATCGAGTCACCCTGTGTTGCCGGAATGCCACTGGTGCCGGGCATCGGGACAGCAACAAGACAGACACCAAGAGAGGCGGTGGCAAGGACGACCCTCCTTGCAAAGACGATGACCTCATCGGGCCCGATGACGGCGATGCGTTGGACGAGAAGCCTCTCAATGTGACCCTTCAGCCCCCCATCTGCCCACCCGGCTGCCTGTTGTGGTTCGACGGGTGTAACAGCTGTACGTGTGACGAAGATGGCAGCCTGGAGGCATGCACACTGAGGTTCTGCCCACCGGGGACTGAGAAGCCGCCCAGGTGTACAGGTTCGGTTAGCGAAAGTGTCCGAAATTGAAGGGAGCCCCAGACGTGTGGTTGTGTACTTGTTGCTTTGGTGGTGGGTGTGTGGCGCGTGTGTATCTGCAGTCGAAGAGCCTGATGAAAAGAATCTGACGACCCCAGAGCCTGATGAAAACCTGACGACCCCCTTCTGCCCGCCAGGCTGCCTTCAGGCAAGCCCAACACATCACATACATCCACACACACACACACAGGGGGGACACAAGTGAGGCAGGGATTTGGATGTGTGGCAGTTTTTCGATGGGTGCAATTATTGCCACTGCGACCCCGACAGCGACCTCGCGGCCTGCACTCTTAGATTCTGCCCACCAGAGATCTTGGAGCCTCCGGAGTGTTTGGAATATGGTGTGCTATCACCGGGATGTATATGACAGCGAACACCAGAAATGCTTGGTCTGTCGATGTGTGACCTGTGTCTGCAGTGGACGACTTTGACAATACGACGGCACGTGAATGCCCCAAAGGCTGCGTGTCAATGTTCGACGGATGCGGTGAGTGCGAGTGCACCGATGACGGCCTGATCGACGAGGACAGCTGCACAAAGCGCATGTGCGACGAACCCGAGGATCCAGAGTGTCTCGTTATGCAAGACGGTGGGCATGCATGACCGTTGCTGCCTCACACTGGCTGGCATGATCTGAGCCCCGGCCGATGTCTCCCTCTCTCTCTGGTTGAGTGTGTCAGATGCCTGTGCCACAGTATGTCTAGCCGTCTGGGAGCCGGTGTGCGGCAGCAACAATGTGACGTACAGCAATCAGTGCTTTTTGAAGGTGGCTCAGTGCCAGTATCTGGATGACGACATCACCCTGGCGGCCGAGGGTCCCTGCCCAGGCGACGAACTCCTGCCAAAAGCGCATGGGAGCTGAGCCAGCGGGCCACACAGGAGGCAGGCAGGGAGGGAGGGAGCTGTACATTAAGCATAGTGGCCAGACAGCTGCTGTTGTGGTTGTTTGTGTCATTGGCTGAAGAGGCACAAAGCGGCCTTACAATTGGAGGGCATTATGGCATATTTGTCGCTTACTGGATTGGGGGCATGGTGGGTGTGTCTGACGCATTAGGCAGCTGATGTGACGTCAGCTTGTGGGTGTTGTTCTGGTGTTCTGAGTAGAAGGCGGACAGACATGATTTTGCTCCGCTAAATGGAGACAGAGAGAGAGAGAGACACACCTGCCTGCCACCCACGAGGCACGCCAGAAATGCGCCGACATTCAATACCTTTCCTATAGAACCTGGAGACACAGAGGCCTCGAGGGCCACATATTGGATGCACAACAATCAGAAAGTGGTTGGCTGGCTGGCTGGCTGGCTGATTGCTTCAGACGTCTGTCTCCTCAGGATGGCTCGGTTTCATCGCGTAAAGTGACGAGTTGACTAGCTGAGGCGAGACTGTGTGGATTGCAATGCACAGTGATCGATCGGTATGTGCAACGAACGCTGTGAGACGTTTGTTGAATCGTCATATTTGGTGTCTGTCTGTCTGTCTGTCATGTGGGCGGGCCGAGTCTCTTTGTTTGAGAAATGGGTGCATTCATGACTGCCTGCCTGCCTGCCTGCCTGTCGGTCAGTCAGTCAGTCAGTCAATCGCTCGCTGTCTCGGGCAGGCAGCACAAGACAGACCCGAGCCGCTCCCTCCCTCCCACCCCATCTGCGCTGCCCTGCCCTGCCTGCGACACACATCGACGGATGGATGGATGGATCTGAATGCACATAATGATTGCAATACCATAGACGACCCCCTCCCTCTCCCTGTAAGCAACCGACCACGCAGCGCACAGCACAGCGTCCGTCGTGAGCTCATGCAGTCACCTCCTGCCCTCCCCTCCCGCCATTCATTCAGTCACTCATCGGCTTCTTTCTCCTCTTCTGTCGTGGTCCCGGCCTTGAGTGCATTCCGACCCTTGCCTGCAGAGCTGCCATAGATGGTCTGCTTGAGGGCCAGCTGCTGCTGTCGGATGGCCACGGCCTCCTGGAACTTGCTCGCAAGCTTGTCGTAGAGCTCCTGCGTCTTGGCTTGGTCAGCCAGCGTGTCGGTGGAGAGGGTTCCCACAGTCACCTTCTGGCGACGCACGGGCTTGACCCAACACGTGTAGATATATTTGACACCACGGCGGGGCACGTTCTCTGCCGATAGACACGCAGACACACACACAGAGATAAGGATGGATGGGCGTGGGGGGTGTGTGCGACCAAACTGACTGACTGACCGGCAGAGAAGAATATGTGTGCGTGTGCGTTGGGATCCTCCAGCTGAAGCTGCTGCCGGTACAGCCCGACCATCTCTTTGCCCTTGGCCTTTATGTCGTTGTGCGTGGCCTGGAAGGCCTCAGAGAAACCCTCCGACGCACCCACAGCCTCCGGCATGCTGTGGTACACACCATCCTCATCACCGTCACCGTCGCCATCCTCTGTGTGACATCCATAATACACACACAACACACAACACAAAGAGGCAGACAGATTGGATCAAAGAGGGGCAATCGACGAAGCAGGGGGGCTCACCCTTGTCTCTTTTCCGCCTCTTCGTCTTGGCCTTTGCAGGCTCGGACGACCCACAAGCATCGCCATCAGGCGCACCATCTGCAACCACACACACAGACATATCGACAACGTCACACCAACACCCTCCGACACGCCCACAACGCATACGTACCCTGGTCGGCCTCTCCCTCCTCGTGTGGCCTCTTGTTGGTGTGGGTGGTGCCGCTCTCTCCGCCCCCCTCTTCTAAAGTGGGAATTGCATAAGCCTCCTCAGGGACTATGACGCCCCAGCGATACAGCAGGGCCTCGCTGAAGGCCTTGTCCACCTGATCGGTGCCGTAGGGTGCTACAACGGGGAAGGTCCGGTCTGACATGTCGTGAGGGCCCTTGGCGCGGAAGTGGCCTCGGTCTGGTTTGAAGGCGATCCTGAGGGAGGGTATGCTCTTCTTGTCAGGGGCCAGGGCCTGCTGCTCCTGCTTGTAGCGATCGATGGTCTCACGCGACTGCTGGGTCACGGCCGCCCGCAGCGACTCGGGCACTGACAAACAGACAGACAGAGAGCAGACGATGAGAGAGGGAGAGGGAGAGAGAGAGGCAGTGGATGCGTCATGCTGGCTTTGCTGGTTGGCTTCCATACGTTTGCTCCAGCCATGAGAAGTGGGCCGTTTGGTGAGGACGGGCCGCACGGGCCGCTGCTGCTGCCCCCGGCCCCCCTGAGCACTGTCACTCGGGATCCCAGGCAGCGCCCTCCACTGCTCGTAAAGCGCCACACCCGACGACCCACCACCACCACCACCATGTTCAAACCCCTCCTGGTGCTGCTGCTGCTGCTGGAACTGGTAGGTGGGATGTCCCAGGGGCAGATCGGGCCCATCCTGCAGCAGCTCGGGGTCATCCGTGATGCGTCCGGGGAAGGGCAGATCGATGCCCAGTGCCTTGGTGAGCATGTTGGTGGCGACGGTCAGAGTGCGGCGGAGCGCCGTGGGTGTTCTGTCGGGAATGAAGTAGTCCTTGGTGGTGCGGCACGTGGGCGTGAGGGAAATGACGCGCCAGCAGAGCTCGTGGGGGGAGAAGGACAGGCGGATGGAGGGGGGCAGCCGGGAGGCGATACAGTCCATCAGGTGGGAGGCATCCCTCGCCAGATGACTCACGTCAACTGCTACCATACACACATACGCATGGAAACAACGAACGGCATTTGTGTGGTTGCCTCTTATCACCTTCCGTCGGTTGCTCAGTAGCGATCGGTCCGGGCGCACCACTACTGCTGGCGTCTGCAGCTGAGGAGAGCAACACGAAGCGCAATAAATCAGCACCCCTTCCCTGACCTGAGCCCCACCCCCTCTCGCCCCCTCCCCTAGCCCCTACCACTCGGCCGAAACGCATTGTTGGGGCAGTCTCTGAGCGCGACGGCCTGTGCAAAGGCGCCGTCCATGGCGAAGTAGGTGTCCTCACTGCAATCACCCACATACACCACCCTCTTGGGCACACCGCCGCCGTGGCTCTCGAAGCGGTAGGACCCCTTGTACCGCTTCGAGGACCCCTTGCCACTGGACCGCATGTAGCCATGGAAGGTCACGCAGAGGGGTGCGCCGGGATGCAGCCCCTCCCTGGCGCGCTGTGCCTGGATCAGGTCGTCCGCTCGGCGGCGGATCTTGGCGTCGAGGGCGGCAATCCAAGGCGGCAGGGTGGTTGCCGACACGGGGCTGGTGTGCTCGTCAGACGCACCTGCATCGGCTGGGTGGGAGAGAGGGGAGAAATAGACAGGAGGGGAGCGGGAGAGAGTGAAGTGTTTGTTTCCCTGGGCGCGGGGTCTCATCTGACTCTGTTCCTCTCTTGATCTCTGTGTGTGTGTGGGTTGGTGGATTGACCGACCTTTGATGTCGGTCACGGTCATGGATTGGTCGGCGCCCTCCGTGTGGGAGTGGGAGTGGGAGACGCTGCCGGCCTCCTCTGCCTCAACCGACAAAGCCATCGCCGAACCTACAGCAGCTGAACACACCACGCCACACCACACCACACCACACCACACACCACACACCACTCCACATCGATATCTAGAGGTACCCATGGGTGCACCAAGCTTGTTGCCCTACCGACATTCCTGGCCGCCTCGTCTCTCCAGGCGTCCCTGAGCGCCATGGCCTCCGCGAGCACCTGTGGCAGCCGCGCCACCACGTCAGGCCGGCCCGGGAAGGGGAAGTGTCGCCTTCTGTCGGCTTTCTGCGACGCGCCGGGGGCGATGGGGAGGCAGACCTTGACACAGAAGCTGTACGGATTGGTGGCGTGCCTCTTGTCCAAGCGCACGCGGAACCCTATGTGAAACCCTGCAGACAGACAAGGAAGGAAGGCAGGGGACAGAGGGAAATGGTAGGAATGTGGGTCGGTCGGTGGGTCGGTGGGTGGGTCGTGGTGGCGCTTGCCTGGCAGTCTGGCGCCGTTTTCCATCTTGCCCTCCTTTGCCCGGTGCGAGTCGATAAGTCTGTTGGCCTCCTCAACAATCAGCTGGTGGACCGCCGCGTCCACACCTGGCGGACACCTCGGCATCCCACACGCCCCAAACACGCCAGTTGGCTCCCCTGAATAATCAATCCATTACACATGACACACAGACAGGGCACAAGTAAGGGCAGCAGACAGCCCAATCCGTGTGTGGTTGTGTCTGTGCCGGTGGGCTCACTCACCCAGTGGTAGGCTCAGCTCGGCGGCGGGCTCACTCTTGACTACTGACACGACACAACGCACCCCAGCCCAAGAATAAGCACACGACCCTCCCACCCCTCCGTCCCCCCCGTGTCCCTCCCTCTCCCACCCACCTAGTTGTTTGAGCATGGCGTCCCGCCAGGCCAGCGCCCGCAAGAAGGCGTCATGCATGCGGCTGACACTGCCCCTCCCCCGCGCCCCGCAGTCAAACACCTCCCTGACCGCGTCCTTGGTAGAGTGGGCCACGAAGCCATACGTGTCGGTGCTAGGAAGGTGTGCGAACTGGAGGCTGACAATGGTGCTGTCCCTGGGGTCGGTGAGAGAGCTGCAGTGCAGGTCAATCAGGTCGCTGCCGTAGCGGAGCAGCGTGGCGTGGGACGGCAGGTGATGGTTGTCTGGTGATGCAGCAGCAGCAGCAGCAGCAGGGTCTGCAGGAGAGATGGACGGACACATGGATGCGTGGCTTTGGGTTGATCAGGTGTGTGGGTACCTGGCTGCTCATGTGTTTGCTGCTGCCACAGCTGCCACTCGGGTAGCTTCTCCCGCTCAGCAAGAGCTTGCTGCCGCACACCACACACACACAAACACACAAACACACACAGACACACACAAACACGCGTGCATCTCTGCGAACAGCATCCATCCCTCCATCTCCACTGTGATGATCTGACCTGGAACGCCTCCCTCAGACCGCAGACTGTCCGTCGCTTCACGTAGAACACAGCTGGTGCTCCACAATCGCCTCCCAAGACGGCGAAGTGCGGTGTGCCTCGTCCTTCTGAGCCTGTGATGACGCATTCGGGCTGCTGTGACTCAGAGTGGCTGTCGAGGCCATCTGCAAGCCGCTGCTCAGCAACCACCTGGGAGAGCAAACAGGAGGGCATGCTGCTGTTTGGTCAATGATGTTTCGTTCTGGTGCGTACCTGCCGGCCCATCTCGTGCAAGACATCGTTCGGTAAGGATATTTCTTGCGCCTCCCTCATCTCGCTCGCCATGGGTGAGCGTGTGGGTTTTATTGAGTGGGAGAGGCCATGGGAGGCGGTAGTTTTGCCTCCTCCAGGATGGGCTTAAGGGTTTAAAACCCTGCTTGTGTAACCCTACACCCCTAGCCCATGGATGTGTGTGAGATCGTGCACTATCATCTCCTGATGGAAGTGTGCTCAAACCTGACCTGCGACGTTTGCGATGTGAGGACGGACGCGCTCAATTCCCAGGTACGTACGTATGGATTACAGACAGACAGACAGAGAGATGCTGCGGACACCACAGCTCTGCATGGTCCAGCGAGATACATCCGACTCATTCAGTCGGTTGACGATCTCTTATTGTTGCGTCAGATGATGAGCACCGGGCGTCATGCCCTCAGCCCCGCTAGGGCCATCAAGCGGCTGGCGGCCACACAACACGGTGTCGACGGAGGCTCTCTCGGCCCCGACAGAATCTTGCAGACTTTGGTGGAGCACCACGCGACGAGAGGGCCACAGGGCGTCAGCGAGCCAGCCAACGGCCTGACAGACGACGAGAAACTTGACGGCTTCCTCATGTTCTTTGTCGGAACAGAAGAGCAGCCCATGACGGAGGTTAGTGATCACATGAGCGGATACCTGGATGGATGGATGGATGGGGCGGGGTGGGGTTGATGGGCGATACTATATTGAGCTGCGCGGTCGTGTGTGTGTTTGTGCGTCTGTGTGTGTGTGTGTGCAGGAGTGGGTGTACCGCAAGGTGTCGATACTGTGGAAGGAGTACGGCAAACGGCAGGGCAACAACGGGCAGTACGTCCTCTTCGACCTGTGACTGTGGACGACCGACGCGCCACTGCATGTCATCCGCTCGTGGGCTACTGCACATTCATTCAGACGACGGAGAGGTGCCGGCACTCGTGTGCTGTGGTAGATGCGCTAGCCAGTGCTTGGGTGAGTCAGAGAGCGAGGGAGGGATGGGTGTGCAGAGAAGGGGGGACACGTGGCGGTTGAATTAATGTGTGGGTAGACGTGCGTATGCATGTTTGTCTGTCTGTCTGTCTGTCTGACTGCTGTGTGCGTCCCTCTGAGTGTACAGACCGACTCGCCTACTCACTGCCAGACAAACTGACATACATACATACATACATACAGACAGACAGGTTTTGCCTGATGCATCGCCATGTGCATGTGCATCTGTCTGAGTGTGGATGTGTGGCTGGGACCAGCGACCCTTCATTTGTCTGCCTGTCAAGATGTCCACACATCAACTCAACGTGTGTGTGAAAGTAAAACAGCCATCAACCACACGCGTGACGTATTCATTCACCCCAACCGACACGGGAAATGCACACGTGTTCGTTCTTCGCCCACAGAGCAACACCCGCACAACCAGCGAGCAAGAACACCACCACGTGTCTGCCTGCCAGTCACTGACTTAAGCGAACAGGCTGAGGAAGTCAGCCGTCAGGGACGTCTGGAAATTGACCTGGGGGTGGACCAACAGCACAAAACCTGAGCTTGTTCATTCTCTCACGACGCAGCATGGCCATAGCTACCTGTTTTGGCTTCTGGTCCTTCTTGGCGGCGCTGCTGTTGGACACCACCACGTAATGCGGACCGGCTGAACGACACACCCACCACACCACACATGCAATCAATCAATACACATCACATCACACCACACCACACAGGTCAGCCCC